ACAACAGGTGGGGTAGAAAAGTCCACACATACCCACATGGAGAACTGGGGAAGAGCTCTTCCAAACAAATTCACATCAGTGCTTCTTCCACAGGCGGTATCTTGGACATGCAGTTGAGTATCTGAGGTACAGCTACTTGCCAGTTGAATGTACAAAGAGAAAAGAGAGTGCTTTGCTGAAAACCACATTTTCTGGGTGTGGTGGCACATATCTGGAATCCCAGCACATTTCTGAGCGTGCTGTTTAGGGTAAGAGATCACAAGCTCACAAAGGAAAGAGTACCTGGGCATAGTGGCGCACGCCTCTAATCCCAGCACTCAAAACACTGAGGAAGGAGCATTGCTGTGAGTTTGAGGCCACCTGGGCTACAGACGGAGTTCAAGGCCAGCCTCAGCTACAAAGTGAGACCCTGTGTCAAAAACCAGAAAGAATCTTCCAGTTCCAGGCACTTGCTTGCCGCAGTTTACAGTGCAGTTATGGCCAAGTCCAAGAACCACATCACAAACAACCAGTCCCAAAAATGGCACAAAAATGGCATCAAGAAACCTCAGTCACAAAGATATGAATCTCTGAAGAGATTAGGAACATGTTCCTTAGGAACATGCATTTTGCCAAGAAGCACAACAAGAAGGCCTTCAAGAAGATGCAAGCAAACAATGCCAAGGCCATGAGTGCACGTGCTGAGGCTATCAAGGCCCTTGTCAAGCCCAGGAGGTCAAGCCCAAGATCATCCCAAAGGGAGTAAACCGCAGGCTCGCTCGACTTGCCTCTATTGCCCACCCCAAGCCTGGGAAGCATATCTGTGCCCGTATTACGAAGGGTCACAGGTCTTGCAAGCCAAAGGCCCAGGCTCCGGCCAAGGCTCAGGCTCCAGCTTCTGCTCCAGCCCAGGCTCCCAAAGGTGCCCAGGCCCCCGTGAAGGCTCCACAGTAAAAGCCTTTTATCTTCTGGTGTAAAAACAGAAGGACTGGTGTGACCCCTGGGGTGCCATCTGTGGGGGGGCTAGTGTCCTCCTGTGCTTTTTGTACAAATAAACCTGAGGCAGGATTAAAAAAGAGAGAGAGAGAGAGAGAGAGAGAGAGAGAGAGAGAGAGAGAGAGAGAAAGGAAGAATAAGAAAGCCACATTGAAATGGGAGGTGTTAAAAATGTTGGTGATATGCTATTAGGGAAAAAGAAGGGAGGAGGGATATGAAAGTTTACCTTATTGTACACACAATGGAGAAGGAAGAATATACACTGACATATTAACAATGCCTGTCTCACCCTATCAAATTAGGATGGCGGTTTTGAGGTAATTACAAGAGGAAGGTGTGATTGAGAATAAGTGAAGTCAGAGGGCAGTGGAGATCTTAAACTGTGGGACTCAGGAAGGCCTCTGTTGTCTGGGAGACCATTGCTGGTAATAAGCGGGGAAGAGACAGGATCTGGCTGGCTTTTTAACAACTTCACTTTAGGTTGGAATACTCAAAGAGGAGGAGATAAATCATACGTGCGTAATGCAATGAATTTTCACAAAATAGACACAGCAGTGGAG